GGTCAAGTCGCATTAAATCCGTCTTTTACGTCACTGACACAAGACAGACGCCAATTATCAGCGCCGGAGAAGCACCCGATAAGACATCGCGAACGCTTCCTGCCATCCGGTGAAACTGTTGGGAAGACAACGTTGGAGAAACGTTAACATTTTATTTGTACTGCATAATCTGCAGATTCTGACAGAAATCTGCAATTGTCCTTTGAAGCACCCCTCCTCTAAAACAGCAATAAGGATAATTATTAGGTTATCTACATTATTATGTAAATAACAAAATAACTTAAAGCAAAAATTGGGAAACGTGAAGTCCGAAGTCTTTATATTAAGGCCATCAGTCAAACAATATTGTTTGCTCTGGGTCTAAGCAGAGTGCGTTGTGTGTGACATCTTCTTTTGCGCATGCGGGCCGCTTTGAGGGTTCACACTAGAGCGCGTTTGCTGTCACATTTTATCTGTAGTTTGAACGATCAGACAAATAAATCGGATTTGATCAAAAAATTGGAATTGAGCATTAAGACCTCCAGTGTGAACGTAGCCTATGTGTCCTTGGGGAGTAGAAAGCTGCAGACTCTTGCTCATGCTTGCCTGGGAAAATATAGATAAGAGGAAACCATTTCCTGTGGAAAGTTACTGGAGTGCTGTTGTTTAGACTAGAATGAGAGAGTTTCTGTAATGAAACAATGAGGTAAACCTATGAAAACTGTGGTGAGATTAACAGACCATCTGACACTGACTGAATGGAAACACACAGACTAAATACACTTAAGGAATGATCAAGGAAAGTAGAATCACATGGGGAAAACAGCTGGCAACAATTAACATAATGACAGGATACGTGAAACTAAATACAATAAACACAAAACACAAAGCAAAGAAAAGGGAAGTTTACAACAGCTGACAAAAGGACAAAAAAAACATGGAAACGGAAACATTGAAATCTTCCTATTATATAGGACAGACATCAGATAGAAGGAAGCGACACCCTGCAGAGATAAGATGCAAACCAAGTCATAACATGGCTGTGAAATGAACTGATACCGGATCATGAAGTACCGAGAAACGTTAAAAATCAGACAAGAGATTCCACTGTAACAACGAACATCTGAAAGAAGTGGAGAACAAGTTCTGACACGATTGGAACATCTTATCATTCAGCATTGAAGGCCATTGTAAAAAGCCAATTAAATATTTCATAGGAAAATCGCCACAATCAAAACAATAACAGAGAGTATGGTCCAAAATAGAGTTGTGTGATGATAAACCCTGTTCCACGTGACTGAGGTTTTTCTTTTAAAATAGTTAATTATTAAAATAGAATACAACCGACAGGGGCATAAATGGTAAATGGCCTGTATTTGTATAGCTCTTTACTAGTCCCTAAGGACCCCAAAGCGCTTTACACATTCAGTCATCCACCCATTCACACACTGGTGATGGCAGCTACATTGTAGCCACAGCTACCCCGGGGCGCACTGACAGAGGGCATATGCTAGGATGTGGTACAGCAAAAAGAACAAAAGCAAAATAAAGAAAACCCATTGGGTCATTGTGTTGAGCATTGTTAAATTACTAATGTGTCATTACACTCAGAGGATCAATATGAGTCAAAATATAAACAAATTTTGCATGAGGTACATGACTGTTAAATTGTCTGTCCTGAGCTTTTGTTTCCTGTAACACCCACTCGGCCACACCACCACTTTTCCGCCACCAAAAGAGGGTAAATGCAAATGTTTGTGGGAAGAATATCACAAAAATAGGAAAGGTAAGCCCTGATGGGGGTGATAACACTATGAATGGTCAAATTCCTAAACTGTGATACCTAGCATAAAATTCTCCAAAATTTAGAGACAGTAGAAACAGAATGGGGTTTTCGGGTTTGTCCAGACCTGAAAAAACTCAAATCCCTCTCTGGGAAACTGGTTCCAGAGCACAAGCTATGCATTGAGGTGAGCCTGACTATATCTAGCAGTAACTCTCAACCTCATGCACTAGGCCTCTATTGCGCCTCATGCAGGTGGTGGGCCTACAGGAGGGCAGACCCACATTGTCTCTTCAGGGTCTATCAATTAGGGATGCAACGATACCAATTTTTTCAAACCGATACGATACCGATACTTGGATCTGAGTACCTGCCGATACAGAGTACAAAAAACGATACTTCTACCACACACACACACACACACACACACACACACAAATGCAATAAATTGGAAGACAGGTTTTATTATATTCCCTGCCAATAAAAATAAACACTTCTGTTTGGAATAAAATAACTACAAATTAGGTTTGAGAACAAATTAAACTTTTAAATTATTGCAGAGTGTCCATATTGTAAACAAACAAACAAAATAATTATTATAAAATAAATAATAAATAAAATAATAATTGGCCCCCTAGTGGCCAATCTAAACTACAACAAAAATGACCAGCCACCCTCTGATTAATGAAATAAGTTGGTATCGGTTCATGGTATCGGTTAACTTTTACGAGTATGAGTACACACACATTTTACAGTATCGGCCCTGATACCCGATACCAGTATCGGTATCGGGTATCAGGTGCATCCCTACTATCAATAGTGATTTTCATTCCCCCCTGAAAAATCTGAATAAATTAGACAATAAATTTAAAAAAAAAAAACAATAAATTGCACAAAAATACTGGAGGTGGAAAAAAGAAAGGAAACTCACATATGCAATTTATTTTATTTGTCAGAAGTTTCAATAAACACTCCAGTTGAGATTTCTATCATTTATTTTATGGTTGAGACTTTACAGGGTTAAAGCGAAACAAGTTACATTTTACAGAGCAGAAATATAACTAGTCCTAAAACTACTACAACTACTATAACTACACGTGTAATGCTTTTACTTATGAAAGAGGTTATAGATGGGATCATAAAAGGGGAAAAAAAGCTTTTATTTTCTGTGTATCCTGGGTATAGACCAGTATAAAGACGTGTTTCTTCCCTATAATTGCTTTCTCACATTCTTCATATTGCATTAAAATAATAGAAGCCTGATTTTATTATTAACATGATCAAAACACCCTTTTAGTTTTTTGCACAGTTCATTTTTATATGCTGATATTTATAGTTATTATAATTTCTACAAAGCACATTACACAGAGCTGGAGAATAAACTGTTTCAGCACGCTAATGTGTGTATGTGATTACAGCAAATCCACACTCGTGCTGTCAGAGCAGAGCCTCTTTCATTCATCAGAATAAGATCAAAGCAGATGTATCCGGTCACCTTACGCAGATGACTTCATGACATCTCACTCTGACTCTGGGTTGTAAAATTCACCACTCCAGGTGTTAAAGTGAATCATTCTCAACACTGCCTGAAGATCCTGACGAACCTCTTCCTCAGCTCTCTGCCTGTTTTCAGCTGAGCGGTCATGCACAGTTGTGCCATTTTTAACTTCTTCCTCATTTTTAAGCAAGTTGCTCAGGCTCTCAGGTTCAGCACAGTTACCATAAGCCCACTTTTTGGTTTCTTCTGTGTTCAAGCCAAACAAATTGTGACATGATTTACAAGGGCTCATTTGTTCATCACGACTGAGACTAAATGACTCACACCTGATGTTTCCAGGTACTTCGATGGTTCCATCAAAGTATGCTTTCTTCTCGTTATTATTTGGGTAATAGGTCATCACTGCACCAGATACATATTCGTCCCAGTTGTTAAGACAGGAGGCACCAATCACAATTTTCCCTGGGTTAGGACCATTGGTGGACATGGAGACTCCATAGTACCTCTTTGAACTTTGGTCAGTGTTGGATTTCTGAGAAATGCAGATGATGGAGGAGACCAGAAATTGAGGAGCTAGGTCGCTGATGAGTTCCCGCAGACTCTGCTTTATTTGCTCTTCATTCTCTGGATTTTCCCGCAGGACAATCTGGAAACAGTTACAAATACAGCCAAAATGTTACACCTGCATCCTTAAAATGATCAGCTTTCATTTTCTTATACTGTAACAGTGTTTTTTTTTAAATATCTGCATCTAATGCATGCATAAGATCTTATATTTGTTTTAAATATATAGTTGATAAACAGGTTTGTTTAGCAGATTGAGTTATTTAGCTATACAGGACAACTGGATGCCATTTATTTAGATATTATAAGACAAGGAGTGGAACAGGTCACAAAAATGTATTTAATTTCAAATCAGTGCTTACTGATTTCTAATCAAATTTGCTAATTGACCCTTTTTTTTCCTATTTTGCCATGTCAGGTTGTCACAAAAACTAAATTTAATCTTGGAGTTCACTTAACCGAACCAGCAGCTACATAGTAACAGCATCATATATGCCCTGAAGACTGTAAATATGTCCAATACCGAGTCTTTAAGATTTTATTTAGAACTAACACATTCTGAAGCAAGCCCCTAGCTCTCCTGCTATCCTGATATGTTGAAGTATAAGGTACAGTATACTTTTCAGCCTCTTGTTGGATTTATCAGTGTAAAAACAGTTTGCATTATACTTTCCCTAAAACTGGAAGTTTGACAGATTGACTGAAAATGTGAGAACTGTTATCTTACCATGTCGAGCACACAGGAGAACGGACTCCTTCTGGGAAGCTGAGTCAGGTAGAACTGAAAAGGTCTGGGATATTTTTCCATTAAGGCTTGCAAAATATCATCACTAGAGAAGATTTCATTTGGGGAAAAGGGGGTTTTATTGATTTTACCCAAAAACAAGATGCTGTGAAGAATCTGTTGAGGAAAAACACGTTTACTTATTGTTACAAGTGATATAACAGGACTGTGTCAAAGTTAACCCACCTCATCCACTAAGTGTGTACTTCCTGCAGTGTTGTTAGACCAGCCATTCATCTCATCGATAATCTTGTAGGCATTTTTTCTGAACCCTTGTTGAGTTTTCAGAAATTCTTCTCTTCTAAAATTATAATGATTGAGCAGTTAGGGATTTGAAAAATACAAGAGGTCTCATAACTTTGGCTTCAGTAGAATTTGCAGACATACCTGTTTATCTCTTGGTTAGCCTATTTTGAACATGAGAGAAAACATATTTAATACTGATAGAATAAAATAACTATCATTGGTGGTTGAGAAAACGCCAGTGAAGAAGTGAAAAGCTGCTACTCACCATTGCTGCAGTCTAAGAATGAAACAGAAAGCACAGAGCGAGCAGCTTCCCCTTTAAAATGGCTCCTCGTGTGATTTACAGGAAAACAATTAGACATGTTTTCTTGTTGTCATTATCATCCAACTTTTCTCTCTACAGTTGACAGGAAGTTCAGTGAATTAGAAAATAATCTTGTGTAACTGATAGTTAATTTGTTTTTTTTTCTCTTCCTGTCAATGTTGTGAAACTTGCAGTGGTAAACTACACTGTCAGAAAGTCCTGAAAAAAGTACCGTCTGCTACATTTAGCAGATACTATCATCTAATAAATGTAATCTGGGTAGAGAAATAAAACAGACTGGAAATCTGTGGAGAATATAATTTGTGACTGGAAATAAGTAGACAAGATGAGGATCTCACTGATCTCATATGTTCTGACTACTATCCATGTGCACAAAGAGCAGACCTTCATTAGTTAAAGGACAAAAAGGGACAGAACAAGATGTAAGTTAAGGAAATATAAGTTTGACTATGGAGCACATCTCCTTCAGCGTTCAGAATAATGGATTGCATTTCTCTCAGTCAACTGACTGTTTAGGGGAAAAAGCGGCTAATAGTTAGTGGGCTCTGTGTTTGTGGTTGTTGTTTGTTAATCACACCAGGAGTGAACAAAAGCAGAAAAAAACCCTGTAAAGATGCAGACTGTGAAAGTCTGCTTTATACCATAAATCTTCCTAGCTGGGGTTTTTTTGTGTTTTAAGTTATAAGCACATGTGAAGACTTCTGTCTCACATTGCTGATGTGATCCTCCTTTTTTGTTCCCTATTAATGATCTACTGTAATTTGTGATATTCCCCCCCTAAAATAATAAGGTCTTATTGAAATCATTGCGATACAGAGATTTGATTTCTTGTGCATGCTTTGGATAAAAAAGTAATTTTGTCAAGACCGAATGTTACCAACTGCTCCTCAGTCCAAACTGACTTTATGGTTCATACGTGTCAACTCAGGGAACTCCTGCCGTGACCTCCTCTCTGTGAGACACACGGAAAGAGAGAAACAGAAAGATCATTAATGCAGGGGATTGCAGCAGCTCTTGGGTTTTCACTCTCTGCTGGATTTCGGAAGAACGGTCACATAAATTTCATTACAATTTTTTTGCCTTTGCTTCAATTAAGATGTGTCTTTAAATCCTTTCTTGTTCAAATTGTTTATTCACATAGTAAAGAAGTAGCTACAGAACTCAGTAAGTAGGAAGAGCGATAGTATAAAGACATTTTCTACAATACAGAGGATTTCATCATCCACAGTTTGTGAAAACTGCAGTTAAAAAACAAATCAGTAAATTCACAAATGATGGACTCTTTTCAGAGCTATGCTTCATGTACTGATTAACATACAGTTCAAAGATGTACATTAGGGTGAAGACTGCTTATGTGGATTTGCTATATGAATATGCTCAAGAGTCTGAGCTAAAAACTTGAAATATATATATCTGTATATTTTAACATAGATAAAATGTTTTTGGATAACAAACGAGTCACTATTTAAACACTGTTTGAATAATCAAAGAGATATTTATAAAGGGCAGGCTACAACAGACATACTTACTGGGAGCTGTATTGTCTATTCTGCATAAGCCACACCAGAAACTCTCTGGCGGATAGCAAAGTCTGTGCTGTGGGAGTGTCTGGACCCTCCACGCCGCACAACCTCGCACTGGTCCCCAGGGGCACGGCAAACTTGTAAGCCCAAGTTTGGCTCCCAAAAGAAAGATGCTTGAGTTGCTCTTGTGTCCAACAAAAAAATCAGTTCTAATATGTTTTATTTGTAATGTTACTGCATTGAAGTTAGCACAATTTAAGTTCAAAAAATTATTAGTCTTTTAAATGAATGGCATCTTGATGGGGACTGGTAAGAGGCTTAAAAAACTAATACATTGTTTGTTTTTTTTGTTGTTTTTTTACATCTTGTGCACTTGAGTACACTTCAATGAAACTCGAAAAGTGGGACACACACAATATGGAGATGATGACTTTGCATTTGTTAGAGAGGAGGAATTCCTACTTCCCATTCATGTACTCTGCAATGTGCATTGTGTCCTTGTAACGTGTTTACTTTTTTCAAAATAAATAGCTGTGAAAAAAACCATCAAAGTATTCACCACAGTATCGTGTTTTTTGTTTTTTTTTTTAAATTATATTTTTTTGTCTGCTTATTCTGTTGGTTTTTGTTTTTTGCCAATCTCCCCCGTCCCTCTTCTCAGCTGTTTTTATTTCCCTCTTTCTTTCCCCCAGTCAAGTCTGTCCCGTATTCAGCAAGTGAAAATAAAATAAACAATAAAAGGTGATTCATTTTAAGCACAATTGAACAAAATAATGTTTTGCTTTCCTGTATTACTAGAATTAAAATGAAAATCAACTAAAATAAAAATAATAAAAAAAAAATAAAAGAAGAGGATTGAATGAATGTTGTGGTGATCAGCAGGAGAGTACAGCAGAAAGTAATTTTGACTGTTCATAATAAATATGTTTATTCATAATAAACTGTGGAAGTGTCATTGACCATCTGCTTATATTCATGTGGTAATAAAACTATAACACCTCCCTCTAGTGGCCACATGTAAAACTTGTGTGATTACGTGAAAGTTTTAAAGTCGCAGAGAATTGTTTCTCCTCTGATGAAGATCCGTTCAGAGGCTCGTCAGAGAGTTTGGTTTCAGTTACATCACTCTTGTGAACAGACCTGCTGACTATTAAAACTCGAAGATTTTCATTATTAATCTTTAAAACTGAGTGACAGATTCTTCTGAAGTTTCAATATTTAGTCATCCACATCACACAGAACACGTTTAATCTGTCAGACATTTTGATATAAGAGTGAAATTAGTTAAAGCTGATTCATAACGTTTTTTATTCATTTATTTAAACTTTAAACAATTTAAAGTTCCCTAAATTTTAAGTGAAATGTCTTTTTGCCTAATTATATCATGTAATGTTTTACTTGAACCTCATGGTGGCAATGTTGCTCACTGTTAGGTTACTTGGAAGACAGTGTATCATATCACAGTGCATCACAGACATCATGTGTTTAAACATTAGGGTGCATTTACTGCATAATTAATGTACTTTAGTGTACTTTAATCATCAGTGTTGGATCACATTATATTGGACATTATTAGTTTCTGTAAACAAACAAACAAATAAATGCATCCATGCAGTGCTGCAACTTTTAAGCAAGCATTAAAACTCAGTGGCTGCACATTAACAGCAAAGAACAGTCTGCAGTCTGCAAAAAGAAAGCATTTTTTACTTCTGACTGTGATTATTAAATATGTTCACTGTACTGTACAGCTGATCAGGATGCCCATACATGTTAAAAATTAGTCTGATCATCATAATTATGAACACTTAATTAACTAAACATATTTTTTTAATAACGAGTTGAATAAAATACTGACATTTTATTAGGAACTGCTCATGATCAGCTCGTTTATTCCTCAGAACAAACTGAGGAAGCATCACTGATGATCTGCTTGTATCCATGTTGGTGTTTAAAGTCCAACATCTCCCTCTAGTGGCCATATATAAACCATGTGTGAGGATGGTGTTAATGTAAAATGTGAATCATAGTGTTCCAGTCAGTCATCAGTGTGTCTCTGCACAGCTGAGTAATTAAAATGTGTTCAGAGGGCCTCAGTGTCTGAATGGTTCCAGTTCAGCTCCATAACAGCAGCGTCCCTGGTTTGATTCCTGTGTTTCAGCTCATATCTGCCTCTCTCACTGAGGGGGACGTAACTACATGGAGATGGATTTGTTCATCAACCAAACTACAGATCACTGAGAGCAGAGGACATTAGATCCTCTTTAAAGTTTGTGAATAAACTGTGAAGTTATACTGAGTACAATGTGCTTTATTGATCCTCATATAAAACTTTTTTTTTTTTTTATAATACATGGGCATTGCAATGTGACATATTTAAGAATAGATTCATTAATGAAACGAATATTCACCACTACTTCCGGGGCATCAGTTGTACCACCGTGTCTGTACTAAGAAAGGAACAGGACATCTTCAGAAGAAGACGGAGGCCTTTACTTGGTGTGACAGTGACAGAAATATATACATGTATTTCATAATGTTATCACATGTAGTGAGACACCCACAGTCTTTGTACTTATAGATCAACCACGGACTCAGAGGAAGAGGGCGGGCTTTACTTGGTGTCAGAGACAGAAATGAAAAAAAGCTCAAATGAGTGAGAACGACGATGAAGGAAACATCTGTGCTGTGTCTGCTCTGTAAGTAGAATCTCTGTGTTTGTTTGAATTCTTGTACTTTGACTGTCTGCTCTCCTGATAACTGATG